CCCCCCTGCACAGTCCTCCCACAGTCCCCTCCTGCACAGTCCTCCCACAGTCCTCCCCACAGTCCCCACCCCGCACAGTCCCCCTGCACAGTCCTCCCACAGTCCCCTCCTGCACAGTCCTCCCACAGTCCCCTCCTGCACAGTCCTCCCACAGTCCTCCCCACAGTCCCCACCCCGCACAATCCTCCCACAGTCTCCCCCCTACAGTCCCCCCTGCACAACTCCCCCCCTGCGCAGCTCCCCCAACATTCCCCCCCTCTGTGCAGACTCCTCTCCACCACGCCGTTGAGTTGGGGTGACGGCCAGGGCTGGACGGTGGGGCTCCACGGCAGTCGCCTTGAGGCTGTTGAAACAGCCTCACCATGGAGCCCTCGACCCCAGGACCCGGGTTCGGCTCCGGCTGGGCCTGCGCCCGCTGCGGCCCCTGGTGATCTGTGCCAGTCGCCCTGGAGTTTGTTTTTGCTTTGCAGCCACGTGGCCACTCTTCTCAGCTTCTCTGCTCGGACCCTCGCTGTCCTGGAAGTCCCTCCAAGTCCTGCTCTGCCTGCATCCCGACATCTTGATGTTGTCGTGTTGTGTCCTCAATCCCCTTCAGATTGAGTGTTTGACCCACAGGTATGAATAGGACCGAATTAACTTCGGACATTTGGTGATTTTCCAGAGACTTTCTTGTTGGTGGCTAATTTAAATTTGTATTCAGTATGTTTGGGGTGCTTTTAATTTTATTGAGACCCATTTGATAGCTCAGGCTAGGGGTACAGCTTCAGTGGGCATGGCGCTCAACCCTGTGCCGTGGAGTGTCCAGAAATACGGATCCGCCGCTGGGCTAAGGAGTGCGATCTTGCAGCGCACCTGTGCACTGATCACTGAGCGGGGAGCGCCAGATCCCTTTCTCCTTTGTTCATTTTGAAATTTTGTGTTCCGATTATTATGAGCCCTTGAGTAATTTACTCCTCTGTCACAGGAGATGGCTGTCTGTCTGTCCATGATTCTTTGATTTGAAATCTGTGCCTGGCACTGGCCCAGCCAGGCCAGTTCCTCCGTGACCAGGTCCCGTGGATGGCACCCTGAGCTTTGGCTTAGGCTGGGACGGCGTGCCCCCTCAGTGGCTCCCCTCAGGACTTCCTCACACCCACATTCCTCCATTGACAACGCAGTTATGAGTGCGGAGGGGAAACAAAGGCTTCACAGTGGGGAAGAGGCCTCTTCCTCATCCGTGCGACCAGGCTGGGAAGCGCGGCGGTGAGACCAGGCTGGTAATTGCAGTGGTGAGACCAGGCTGGGAAGCGCGGCGGTGAGCCGGGCGGGTCCCGGCCTGGCTCCCCTGGCACTGCTGTCCCCTCAGCGCCCACTCCCAGGGGGAAGGCTCCAGCACAGTGCCAGTGAAGGGCTGTGAAGGCGGGGGGCTGGGGGGCCCTGAGCCTGCACTCCGGTTAGAGGGCGGGCATGCCGAGGGGGCCGGGTGCGGGGGCTTCCTCCACGGGCCAGGGACGAGGCGCTAGGGAAAACACAGCAAAGCCGCCGTGCTGGCTTAGACTTTTGTCCGTGAAGGCTCCACTCACGGGAAGACTGTCCACCCTGTCAGACCCCATCCTCCCCACCTGGTCTTTGTTCTCTCGCCTTCTGCCTCTGTTGGGACCCGGAGCTTTGCCGGGGTCGGGGTAGGGATGGGACCTCACCAGGCGGGGCCAAGCGGGGGGTCTGTAGGTTTGGGGTGCCCTGGAAGGGAGCTGGGGTCCCTCTCTCTCTGTCCTCTCAGAGCAGGAGCATTTTGCTGCCAGACCCGCTCCCCACCACGGCTGTCTGCCCGTGCACGCGGCGCTCCCGCAGCGGGCCTGGCGGGCACGGCGGCGTGGGCTCCTCGGCATGGGCAAAGCTGACGGCGGGCTCTCAGTCATCACGTGAGGCCGCCTGCACACCCGGGTCTGCCTCCTTGGCCTCTGCGCTCGGTGGGTTTGCTGCCTTACCTCAGGGCTGCTCTGGAGCAGACAGCACAGCTGTGAGCTGCCCAGGCCGGGCACTGTGGTCTGAGGGAAGGCGCCCTGCCCCCCTCACCCCGCCTCACACTGTTTGTCATGTGCTTTGCTTTTCTGTGTGTAGGAAGCCCCACAATGCATTGGGATTGTTGTAGCAGTGCTGGGGGTGAACTCAGGGCCTCACGCTGCTGGGAGGTACTCTACCATCTGATCTATGCCACCACCACCCCTGCTTTCTACTTCAAGTTAATCCTTCTCTTCTAAAGAGATGAAATTAATACAAGCTATGAAGTTGGTATATTGAATATTGAAGAGATTTGAAAAAAGGGGTCCAACAGCCTGGAATTTTTTTTTTTAACTCAAGATCTTGAACTCCAGACCTTCCTGCCTCAGCCTCCTGAGTGCTGGGATTCCAGGCATGTGCCACCACGCCCGGCTGGAATAATTCTCACAAAGGAATGTGGTCACCACTGAACAGTGCGATCGATCCAGCGTGGCTGGGCCGCAGGCGTGACCTGGAGTGCTGGTCGCCAATGGGAGGGCGGCGCGGCCATTCCCACAGCGGCTCGTCCGCGCTCAGGGACTGGGGACTGGAGACGCTCTGTAACCCTTACCAGGCCCTG